AACAGCCCCCTTGTTGACCTGGTTTCCTTGTTTTATTTATAATATTGAAGCTGCCAGAGAAGGTAGACTCGCCTTGATTTGGAAATCTTATTTACTTTTTGGTGGGGGGGGGGTTTCTATAATATAACTTTAATTTCAGAGGGAAATATCAGTGGTTCATATAATTTGTCTTGCTATACAAAGCTCCCACTGCTCCTAGGTAGGATACAGAGGTCAAATGTCAGTGTGTGTGCTGTGTGCTTATATGTGTGACCATTAAAGAGGGTTTCAATCCTCCAATTCTATTGATCTTGGAGTTAAAGCAACAATTATACTCACCATGGAAAATACCAAAATAGCTCAGGAGGTAGGTGATTGTCCACCAAGTTCTGTAATTTGGGTTCCTAGTCCTGCAGTCATATGTTCTATTGTGATAATACACACAATAATCAATCTATGTTTGCCCTTGATTGCTAACTGTGTGGTGAATGTTGGCTAACTCTGTATGGCAAACTATGTTCCCCTATATTGTTGGGGAGTGCTGAGATGTGTGTAAATACTGCGTTGAGTGGTTGCATAACTGGAAAAAGCGCCATGTAATATTGCGATCCATTGACATTTGCTTTTTCCCCTGGTGGTGTTTTTTATGCTAATTTTGTAAATATTATCTCTCCACCAAACCTAGGGCCCATCCTGCAATAACCTGAACTAATGGAAAACTCCCCATTGGCCTTTTTGTTAAGTGGAGAACCAAGATGGATGATAACTTCAGGATAATCTGCCAAAATTATTTTCATTTCCAGTACTCTATAGAGTGGTTAAAAGTATTTCTTTAACTTCATGATCTTATTGTACGTAAATACATTGGATACTTGAATCTTTGAATATATCCATATGACATACACTTTGTCTCTATTTCTTCCCTATGCCTGCTCCCTTCTCTGTGTACTCCATGATTGCGGTCCAATATTTTATCTCAGTGTGACAGCCCTTGGCCTGATCCTAGATGTTCCATTATGTACCTATAACAGCAGATCTTCAGAAAGACGACGAGATTATTTTCTGTCTTCTGGTGGGCTCACATGTTATTGTTTGGGCACATGGGGAGTAACGAAGGTTAGAGGTTGTTGCATGTTATCTCATGTATAACCCTTCTTTTGATAGTAAGGGTCAGACGTACACGTTTTTACCGAGACACTTTGTATAACCGGTCTTTAGCTTCTGTTTTCTAAAATGTTCCCCCCCCCCCCCCCCCCCCCTAAAAAAAAGTCTTTTCCTATGAAAGCACGATTAATAACAAACATGTGGAATTTATTGATTTCCACAAAACCAACTATCCCCAGAGTATTCCTGAACGTATCGTACCTCCTCGTTTACTCCGGTTCAAGGTTGTTGTTTTTGAAGTTTTATCTCTTCACATGTACATTTATCTGCTCCTCTGAGGTAAATCTCACTGTAAACGATGGTATGGACCGAGGACCGCCTGAGACTTCTGGACCTTAAAACATGTTTTCATTATGTACAGTTGACAACCTCCATTCAGGAAGTAGGGGCGGATATGGAGATACAAACTAATGACTTTATGGACGCTGTTGTATGTTTTAGAAAGTTTTACTCACCATACACCTTATGTAGAAAAGTAAGTGATTGACATAGAATTAAGTTACTTATCTAATATCTCCATAAAAACACCAAACGTTGTTATAACAGCCCCTGTTGACCTGGTTTCCTTTGTTTAGTTAAATATTGAACGTCTGCCAGAGTAGGTAGACTCGTTGTGACTTGAAACGCCTTTTGATGGGAAGCATCTTATTTACTTTATGGGGGTGTTTCTAGAAAAATAAAAAGGTATATCATGACGGAAACTGATACGTTGTTTTGGAAAGAAAAAGTCAAACGATTGCTAAAAAACATCATTATCGTGTTTAGGGAAAACTCCACATCGTTTTTGCAGAAACGAGTCGGGAGAAGAAATTGTATTATGGAAGAAAAGGTGAATCTAGATGCAAATGTCCATTGAGGTGTGGATTGACCATTATGCTATCCTCTTTTAGTTGTTGTGTTTTAAGTATATGATTATTGGATAGGATAATATTAGAATATTAATTTCTCACAATAGTTTTCTGCAATCTTATCATAACTATTTGGAACAAACTATATACTTGTTTTGTTGTTGTTGTTGTTGTTGTTGTTGTTGTTACGTCCGTGGCGCCACCCTTGTATCCTCGACTCCACCCTCTCTTTCCACTCCCACGTCAAGTCTGTGACCAAATCGGCCTTTTTCTATCCAAGGAACATTGCAAGACTCCGACCGTCACTCTCGGAGTCGGTTGCCCAAACCCTAGTCCACGCGTTTGTCACCTCCCGCTTGGACTACTGCAATGGTGTCCTGTTTGGGGTCCCCAACAAAACCCTGGACAGGTATGTTCAAAACTGTGCTGCTAGGGTACTCACACACACAAAGCCGTGGCAGCACATCACTCCCACCCTCATCCACCTCCACTGGCTGCCGGTCAAGTCCCGCATAACATACAAAGTCCTCCTCCTTACCTACAAGTCCCTCCATGCCCATGCCCCCCAGTACCTATCGGACATCCTGGACCCACATGCCCCACCCCGGAACCTGCGGTCTTCAGACTCTGGCCTGCTTACCACCCCCCCGCACCAAACTGCGAACCTTCGGGGACAGAGCCTTCAGTGTGGCAGCCCCCACCCTCTGGAACGCTCTCCCTGCGGAGATCCACAACATCCCCACACTTGACGCCTTCAAAAGGGCCATCAAAACCCATCTGTTCACTAAGGCCTTTGGCCCCTAATGTATTTGTTGTTTTGTCGGACTGGTTGTCTGACTGCCTTTTGTTTTTGTTATGTTTGTTTTGCCCTGTTCTTCCTTGTAAAGCGACCTTGGGTCCCATGAAAGGCGCTATATAAATCCAAGCTATTATTATTATTATTATCTATTTTGTTCCTTCTTTACTTGCTTGTAAAGCGCTTTGAGCACCAGGAAAAGCACTATATAAATAATATGTATTATTATTATTATCTTATAACATCAGCGCCACAGTATCGCCTCCATACTATATATTTTCTAGACAACCGCCTGAAAACATTTATTAAAAATATTCGCTGCTATAATGTTAATGATGAGTTTCACAGTTAAGAGGCTTATTATGGAATAAGTCCAATATCACGTCGTCAACATTTCCCATTTGTAGTGCTGAGATATTAGCACTTTTTTGTTCTAAATCTCTGACTTTACACTCAAAATATTTCAAATTCTTCCTCCCCTTCCCCCTCCTCAACCTTGAACTTATGGCCCCCCAATTTTGGTCCCAGAAACCCTGTCTACGCCCCTGTCAGAGTAAGGAATGAAACTCACCTGATGTATACAAACACTGTCTCTCCTCCCTCTCTGAAAGGGTTAACTGGTAGTAAATCCATCTCCCCGGAGCTCCTCCTCCCAATTGTTGCTGCTGTTTGCCTCAGAAATCACACCACTCACCAGGTCCCGCCTCCCATACCGAGGGGCCCCTCCGGCCCCACCCACCCTGGACCACATTGAAATGGGTCTGATTTTGTTGTCAAACAGTACAGTGAGCAGGGCATCCCTCCTCTGAGCATCTCTACAAAACAGCCACTATAGAGACGTTGGTGTAAATCACATTTCTGACAGTGTGTTTTTATTATAATTACATTATTTAGTCACATTAGAGTGCATGCATCTTCCAGTGCGCCTGGGAAACATGGGAATGCTGATTCACGCATCTTTGTTATTCTTTCTCTTAACCCTCGTTCACACAGGTAAGTTTTCCTTCATTTTATTGACTAATTATGACGTAATTATTAACTCTATGTGTGACTTGGTTTGTGCATAAAATCAGTGTAAGATTCACTCTCTGCGTTATTTGGTAGAAATTTGTTTTTAAATGATGATTTAAATAAGATTGGAGTCCGTGTGTATTTAAATTGCCCACTCCTGTGACAGGTGATGGGGGGAGGGCGCACTTATTCTGAGAATGTAGTTCAAATCTTGTGCTCTCACCGTTACGCTTTCACTCATATTTACGCGTAATTTACCGTGAAAATCCTCCTGTTATCAAGCTTTTTTATGGCTTATTTTCTGCTTAAATCCTTGGCTGTTTTTGAATGGAGCCGCATGTTTGGTTTCATTGACCCGTATTGCAGCCAATGAGCTTTGAGGAGGGTGAATGTGTAAAAAATGTCAAGCACGATTTTGAAAAAAGCCGGTTTTTGAAGCCATTATATTATAATATGGGAAACTGGCTTGACTTGTATATAAATCAGTGTAGAGGAAAACACTTCTATCCTAGATCTACATGATGCAATGTGCAGCCTGTTTGCACCTCCCACCATGTGTGTCCTGAAACGCCCCATACTGTGGAAATGAATGGAAGCCCTCCAACTCACGGTCCAACACAAACACACTGTGTGTCTGCAGCATTCCTCCAGCTCTGGTTGGAGTCTCCGTCAGACCTGTTCTGTTCCCAGTGTGTGTGTGTGTGTCGCTTCTGGGAAACGGTGTGTGTGGTGGAACATGTTGCAACTGGTTGTTGTCACCTGTGACCTTTTTTCTCACAGACATGTGTGGCAATGAAACGTGTCCCGTTTCCATGTTGGGAAAAGGTCGCCTCCCACACATGTCTGGGCAGAGGAGCAGTGTGTGATGTGTTTTTAGGAATGTTTCATCCACTAAATGATGATTTGCAGATAAGCTACTCACCTTGGGAAACCTTGAATTTGGAAAGTTGAACTAATAGTCTAAAAACTGACCAAATTCTTGCTGAATTGGAGTAATTTAGGGCTGTTTTCACCAGGAAAATCACATCATAACATCCCTTTACTAAATCTTACCCAATTTAATATTAATCCAGTATAATTGCAGTGTTATAAAAGTCTCATTAATCCAGTTTTCGAATGTGTTTACACTCAAATGTAAGATTGAATACACTTGAAAGTAGCGTGCCTTTGCAAACAATGATCAATTCAATATTTGTATTTAAATGCATGTGTTTGTGAAGTAGTGAACGTACGACGGGATAAATTATTGATCTCCGCACGTCCTGAAGTTTTCTTTATAAATTCAAGGTGAGTCTTATAGAAATACATTTTAGAGGTGAAGTTTTCCTTCTGTCAAATTCATCTTGATAACTGCACAAAATGGCTTAAATGAAAAGACAACAATATTGATTCTTTGAACGCTGTGGAGGCTAGTTTTCCTCACAAATTCAATGTTATTGATATACAAACGCATTTTGGGGGAAAGTATGTCTTTAATCTCACTTGGGGGCAACTTTCTGGCTTTGAGAAATGGTTCTAAAATACACAATATTTAATGCCCAGCATGGATTTGCCCTGGATCGATAACGATGACATTTTATTGTTCAAGGACTGAACCTGCTGAGCCTGTTGAGTAAACACCGAGCGTGAACGTGTGTTTGGTGACGAGGCTTCAGGGAATATAAGTGATCTAACGGAAAAATCCACTGTTGCAGGAAATTAGAAGATAGAAATCGACCTGAGTTGAACCGTTAGAGGGTTTTATACCACCTGTTTATTTGTATTATTATTACCCTACAAGGATTGATTAGAGCCAGTTTATCAACATCAAGCTGATGACTATCTTTAAGAAGCAATAACACACTTGAACTCATTTGAAATCATAAAAACGACTACAGTCAGCGGAGGAGGAATTACTCAGATCCTTTAATTAGGTACAAGTACTAAAACTACACTGCTAAAAACTCGATTACAAGCAAAAGTCCTGCATTGGAGAGACTACTTAACCCTCCTATTGTCTTGTTCCCCCCCCTTACTTTGGTGTTCGCGGTCAAATTTGACCGGTCCTGTTTTAACTGCTACATTAACACAAACACCATGAATCATCACCACATTTCATTTAACACCCTTTCAAACTGTACATATTGTATCAGACTACTGGTATACATGAACAACTGCAGTAAATATACAAAGAACAGACACTGAACATGTATTGCGTGTGCCAGGTGTGATCCATGTGGGGGGAGGGGCATATAAGGGGGGGAACACATCTAGAGTGTGTGTGTGTGTGTGTGTGTGTGTGTGTGTGTGTGTGTGTGTGTGTGTGTGTGTGTGTGTGTGTGTGTGTGTGTGTGTGTGTGTTTTATCTGATCCGGATGGTTACTAATTCCTTTTCTTTATGGCGGTCATTTTTGACCGGGAACACAATGGTTGTTACAAAGTTGACTAAATCATCCAAAATTCAATGAAAGTTGTGATTTGATATGTTCAAGTCTACTGTGAAGGATATCATAAAGCCAATCGAATGTAAATATACAATCAACAGACGCATTTACACATATGCACACATTAAGATAAAACAAGTCTTTGTAAGTTACGAGTAAAAGTACAATATTTCCCTTTAAATTGTAGTGCAGTTGAGGTATAGTGTTCTTAAAGTATGTTAAATGTGCATTTAAGTAAAATAAAGTAGGCTATATTAAACTAGATATACTTTATTGATCCCAAATTGGGTTTGTCAGACACAAAAAGTTAATATATACGTATCAGCAGTGGAAGAAAACACATATCAACAAGGAATACACAATGTAACGTAAACACAGAATACATTTGAAAACTTGAATTGAGTCCGATTATGCAATACTTGAGTGAATGTACCTCACCGTCCTTCACTGCCGATGAAAACATGTCCTCTTACAGAAGCAGCAATAAAGCGTCTCTTTGTTTTGAACTGAAGCTTCGGCCATGACCGACGGCAGCAGATGTTTCACGCCAAACTGTTATTATGATTTATTGTGCTGTCAACCAGTCATAGCAATGCATAATTCATCATTTGTACAACCTATCACAAAGGACTTGAACCTATGAAAACATACACATAAATACTTAATTGGAGTTAGAATTAAAAAGCAAATCCTGCACTTACTGAATCAGACTATTTGATCGATGCTAATGGCTAGCTGCTAAATGCTTCAGTTGTAAACACCTCCTCCTGCGCCTCGTTTCTCAGGAACATGTGGCCGTATGGAGCCCCGGGGCCAGAGGGAGGAATGAACTCTACTAACCCTTTCACAAGCTGCTGTTTCCCTGATACACAATCTAATTACTCCTTCTGGTTCAGAGGCTTCATCGGGTCCGTTAAAGATGGGGAGATGTTGTGTTTACACTCGTGTCGAATTAAGTGAACCATAAAACCTGGCAATCCAAACAAAGTAGATTTCTGTTATGAAGCCGCCATATCAGCAGCTGCCTGATAACGGGCTGATACATGTGGGTTTACATTCAGAGAGAGTCCCTGTGTGACTCCCAGCTCAACCCTTGGTTAAAAAACATCCTACAGGCACGTGTGTGTGTTTGATCACGTGTGTAGGAGTATTCAGATGAAGTCAAAGTACTAATACCACACCTTTAAAAGACTCTGGTACAAGTCAAAGTCTTGCATTGGAAATGTAACTTGAGTAAAATTAAGAATTGTCAGCAAAATGTACTTAAAGCATTAAGGGAAAAGTACCAAATGCAGAGAAATCCAGAAGAAATTGAAATAAACACTAACTTTAGAAGCATTAGCTGTGATTCATAACACAATTGTAAACAGATTGTTTGTAAGGAAACGCAGGTGCCGTTAACTTCCATTCATCGAGAGAATAACAACGTTTGATAGCATTCAAGAACAACTTTATTTGGATTAGCTGTGATTTGTTGAATGAGACAAGGTTTACGTTCAAAACTAATATTTTGAATTTGTTTTGACGTTAAACACAACTTCCGTTTCTTCACGAAAGGTTGAAGGCATGCGAGAATAACAACGTTCTCTTCATGAATTCAATGTACCACGGGATGAGTTATAGACATATGTTTTAGTGCTGAAGAATTTATTTCATAGAATTCTGCACAATTATTTTCCTATGGGTCTTTTTTCATGGACAGCCACATTACTTAGGAAAGAGTGAACAAAGAACTACAAAACAACATTTTTTTTTTTTTGATTAGCTACGGGTATCGACATGAGCCAACGTTTGAATTTGTGAAGCTGATGATTTGATATTGTTTTGTTGTAAAATGGCGCTTCCTTTTGCTTCCATTCATCAAGAATTCATGCAAAAGTTTTCCTCATTAATTCAATGTACCATCAGACAATTAATAGATATTCAAATCGTCCTTTGTTTGGTTTGAAACGACTTGAATAGAGTTCTGCAGAATGATTATCCTCACCTTACTTCATCTCATGTGCAGCCATATCTGTGTATATGAGGACTCCTCGCTGATGAATGATAACTCAAACAATAAGCCTTTGTTTAACTGTGTGTTCATATTTCTCTGTCACAGATCCATTGACGACATGTGGATCCGATAATTTCCAGTGTGGGAACGGTAAATGCTTGCCGGCTCGATGGGAGTGTGACGGCATGGACGACTGTGGAGACGCCACTGATGAACTTCCTGCTACCTGCAGTGAGTACAAAACAAAAACTCAAAATCTATCAACATCAACATCTAGTCAGAATATGTCTCTACACCTGATATAAGATACAATAACTTCAGAACTTTCACTGCGGTGAGATATCAGGTCTTGTTTGTAGACAATGCATCATCTTGTTGAGTCAAAGAATCTTATTTTGAGTTGTATCTCAGAGGAAACTTATTTTTTTCACATATTTATTGGAAAATCACCAACTAACATCAGAACACAGAACACTTTTGAGCATTTGCGGCTTATTTTGTAACACAGCCTTTCCTGATTCTGGAGAAACATAGTTCAAAATAAGTTTACTTTCTACTTCTTACATGTTGAACTCAAATACCTGTACTTTCTACTTCTTACATGTTGAACACAAATACCTGTACTTTCTACTTCTCTCATTTTCCAAACAGGCTGGTTCCTTTAGTCTGAATGTGTGTTGGTGGCGTGATCATTATTATTTAGAGTCATTGCGTGCCTATTGATTTGAACACGATCCGTGTATCCATCATTCCCTGGTCTTCTCTAAAGAAGAGGGACCAATGAAAACGTTGTCATGTTGCCGTTGTTCAGCATGGAAACATTCATTAGCTAACAATGACATTATTGTTCTATTAATATAAAGGGAGGTCAGGTACTCTTTAAAACAGCTGCTAGTTATGGGTACTTTTTACTGAAGTACATTTCAAAGCCTCTTTACTTTGACTTGAGTAAAGAAGTTTAGTCAGTACTTCTACTTTCACCAGAGTATTTTTAAACACGAGTATCTGTACTTCTACTTGAGTAAATGTGTGTACTTTTGACATCTCTGCCAAATATGAACCCTTATAGGTAGACTGAACGTACCAACAAAAAGCTCCACTTCTGTAATATTTTCTTGGCCTTTCTTCCACATCCTCATGCATTGATACGTTCCTGCATCCGCCGCTTGAACGTTGGAGATCCTGAGCGAGGCGTTTCCACTCTTCAGACCTTCCACAGAGAGGTTCGTCCGGGAACCGTAGAGCGGGCTCTGCTCTATGAGATCCTCGCGGTTGTCGCGGAACAGAAAGACGATCACTTTCTTCAGGTCTGTCTTGGACCATTCCAACGTGCGGAAGACATCGTTGGGAGGGAAACTGCAAGGAAGAATAGCGCCGCCGCCGGCAGAGACGCAAACCTTCTCTGGAGAGACGTTAACCTTCTCTGGAGAGCCATGGACTGAGGACTCTGCTGGGAAAACACAAAACTAAATACTTAAAAGATGTACATGGTGGGAAAATACTGAATGTACTGTTCCAGTATCAGAGTAACATGATAACAAAGGTATCCCAACTGTAGCTGTGTACATGACAGGATGTGTGATTACCTAGAAGACCATCAGGACTGTTTGAGGCATATGATAGCGAGAGCTCTCAAGCAGGGGCGCAGCTGCCCTGTGTCAGGGGGGTATGCAGCAACAATTTTGGCGCCCCCCCCCAAAAAAAATTTTTTTATATAT